TGCGGTTTCCCCATCCCCAGTACAGCGGTTCGTGGCCCCATGGGGAGCCCCACCGACGTTCCCAGTGGCCGAACTCGCATGCGGTTTCCCCACCACCCGGTACAGCGGTTCGTGACCCCATAGGGAGCTCCACCGAAGGTCCCAGTGGTGGAACTCGCATGCGGTTCCCCCACCCAGTACAGCGTTTCGTGGCCCCACATGGACCTCAACCGACGGTCCCAGTGGTGGAACTCGCATGCGGATCCCCCACCCAGGACAGCGGTTCGTGGCCCCATAGGGAGACTCCTCCTCTCGGCGAGCTGCTCGTCGATCTGCTCAGCAGATGCTCAGCAGTAGCAGACGCCAGGGGAGCAGACGGCACGGAATGGCTTGAGGCATGGTGCACTCCAGCCAGTCCAATCGGCCACGGCCCAGGCGGCTTCGCCATGCAGTGCCCGCCTATTTCCCGAGTAGGGGATCGACATCACAATTGATTTACCCCAGTGCATGTAATGTTTGTCGAACCCATGAACAGTGCTAATAACGTTCGTAGGCCTACATACAAGCAGCCTACGTGTGACTCGACGAGAACATCGATTTTGGATTACATCAGTTCTGTAGTCGATCCCCTACTCGAATTTAGCAGGCTGGCAGCCCAGCCGCCCACTTGTGTGCACTCCCATGGGCTGGGCCTCGCGCCTGCAAAGTGTGGTAGGGTGGGGTGGGGGTCGGGGACGACACCTTGACTTCTTGTTCCCCAATCAGGGCTTGCACTGAAGGTGTCATCGCGGAAGTTGACGGATATGGCGAAAGTTTCCCGCCGATTTTGGTCGCAGCTGGGTTTCCGGGGTCCTGGTTCCGGGTTCCAGGGTTCCCGGTTCCCAGGCCGATTTCGGAGGGCGGCGAGGTTCCCAGGTTCCTGGTCGATCTTCTTATCGATCGGTCTCAGCATCGATCTCATTCCCCACTTCTCTATCGATCTCACCATACTAATACTGTCGCGCACTGAGAAATCTATAGCATATGCGTCGTGGCCAGCGCTTTCTGGCCACACGGCTCGGGGAACGATCTACTACAAGATTCCCCAAGGTCCTCGTGGAAGTTGAAGGATTTGGCGAAAGTTTCCCGCCGATTTTGGTCGCAGGCTGGGTTCCCGGGTTCATGGTTCCGGATTCCCGGGTTCCCGATTCCGAGTTCTGGGCCGATTTCGGAGGGCGGCGAGGTTCCCGGTTCCCGGGTTCCTGGTCGATTTTCTTATCGATCGGTGTCCCCATCGATCTCACTACTCATTTCTCTATCGATATCACCATCATTCTCACAATCGATCTCACTATCGATCTCACAAGCGATCTCACTAGAGATCGCATGAGTGATCTCGCGATCGATCTCATTGTCGATCTCATTGGATCGATGTCACTCTCGGTCTCACGATCGACCTTTCAATCGTCCTCACTATCGAGTCCACTATCGATCTCATTATCGATCTCACAATCGATCTCAAGACCCATAGTATTAATTTTCAAACCATCCACTGATTGGGTTTTTCTCAGGTGTAAGGGTTATCCTATTGAAGTGGCCTCCGGCCAGTGCCGCCGATCCGGGGGGCTCCGGCTTCGGTGATCTTGGAGTCGTAGGGGACGCTGTTTGGGAGGGAGGGCGCTCTTGGAGTCGTCGGGGACGCTTTTTGAAGCGGACGTGCCCCCTGGGGGGTGCCTGGAGCGGTCTCGGGGGGGGTCCGGGGAGGGTTCCGAGGGGAGGGGTCCCAGGGGCGGTAGCGGCCAGATCTGAGGGGGGTCCCTGCATCCCCCGACACATTGGGGATGCACAAACCATTAAGACAATGCCAGATGGAGGACCCCCCCTTCCTGCCCCCCTTCCCCAGGGGGGGGTCCGGGGAGGGCTCCGAGGGGAGAGTCCTGGGGGGGGGGCGTACCTGGGACCCCCCGAAACATCTTGGGGATGCACAAATCGTTAAGAAAACGCCAGATGGAGGACCCCCCCCTCCCCCTTCCCCGGCAGAGCCACCCCGGCGATATCCTCCCAAGCAGAGCTGAAGCTCTTGCTTAAGCTCAGAGCTGAAGCTCTTGCTGAGGCTCCTTGTAGTTCACACGCCGGATCGGCGAATATGTTCGAGTCGGACGCGCGCCTCCAAAGAGGACATATAGTGTTTAGAATATCAGTATGTCAGGCGATCGCCAACATGGATTAAGGGCGCGTGGATTAGCGACGGGTCCTGTGTCCATGGGAAATCGCGGATTTCCGCCGCCGAGCGGGGCGGCATCAGCCGCACTTTGGAGAGGGCGCCTCCCCTGGAGACCCAACAACAATCGCGCGCCCGATCCACGGATCGCTGATCCATGTTTGCGCGCCCCCGATCCAGGAGGAGGAGGAGGAGGAGGAGGAGGAGGAGGAGGAGGAGGAGGAGGAGGAGGAGGACACATCGTGTTTATGGCATCCCTGTGTCTCCGTGCGTCCCACGGGACGCCGGGGCAGGGCCGCCCGCAGCTGCCGCGCAGCGAGAGAGGCCTCCGACCGTGGCGCGAGCCGGCCCCAGGGGCGAAGAGGCTGCGCCCGCGGCCGCACTGGAGGCGCGGCGGACGGGGGTCGCCTCCGCGTCTACACTTCCGTCGGGCCTGTCCCTCCACAGGAGGAGGAGGAGGGAGGAGGAGGAGGAGGAGGAGGAGGAGGAGGAGGAGGAGGCGCGGCGGACGGGGGTCGCGGGGGCGGTATCGTTTCACCGATCCCCATCCCCACCCCCAGCCCCTTCGAGACCAAAACGACGCGAAGATCGGGACAACATCGGATCGGGATAACTCGAAATCTCTGAGAATCGGCGGGTTTGGAGGATGTATTGGGCGCCGCGGCCGCTCCAGAGCGTTCCGGAACGCTCTGAGAGCGCCCCGGAACGCTCTGGAGCGATTTATCCCGATCTTAGCCCTGTTTAGAGACCCACACCAAGTTACCCCCCCTCAGTTGGGGGTACCCTGGGGGGATGCCTTGTGCATGTTGGCGGCGCGCAGGAGGGGGGCAGGGGGAGGGGGGAAGGCTTCTTAGAAGCGCCCCTACTTCTTATAAGGCGCGGGCCTTACATCTGCAGGCAAGGCCCGCGCCTTCCAAATAGCAGGGGCGCTGCTGAGAAGCCTTGCCCCCCTCGAAACCCGCAGGGAGCGGCCTATATTCCCAGCTCGGGGGGGGTAAGTCGGCCAGCGGGGCCCAGGCCACTACGCTGGGGGTGGGGATCGGGTAAACGATAGTCAGCGGGGGGCTCCCGTCGCGAGGGCGCACCGTCAGGACCGACTGCCCGTGGAGCTCAGAGCGTGTCCCCAGACCCAAGGCTGAACGTTGGCACAGATATCATATTTCTCAGGCGATCACAAACATGGATTAAGGGGGGGCCTGTATTAGCGACGGGTCCCGTTCTCATGAGAAATCGCTGGCTTCCGCCGCCGAACGAGGCGGCACCGGCCGCATTTTGGGGAGGGCACCTCCCCCGATCCATTCAGGAGGGATAAAAACACAGACTCAATGAATCGTCCATTCCCCCAAAAATATGGGACAATATGGGAAGTGGGGGGGAAGACAAAAACCCAGAAAACATAGGAAAATATGGGGAATCCTGTTATTTGTGCGTATTTATTTGTGTGTCCCAGTTCCCTTCATGTTTGCGCGCCCCCGACTTTCGGAGGTCCGCGTTGATTTCTCGGCTCTGCGCTGGAGCCCTCTGGCGGCGCCGCCGGCGCCCGTTCCCGGCGCGCTCTCCGCGCGCCAGAGAGGGGAGTCCGTCGCCGATCCAAGAAACTTGCGCAGACCTCGGAGGAATCATGGCTATGCAGGCACTTGTTTCTCGAGGAAATCTGCACGAACGAGATGGGCACGGAAAGAATGGGTACAATGCCCAACAGCAGTTCTTGTTCATTTTGAACCGGACTTGCTGTCCGCGCCGCCGCGGCCTGTGTCCATTCGAGACAGAAGACCGCCTGCCCAACAGCGCCCGCTGTTGGTTTGGGACAACATTAGTTGTTGGGCATTGTGCCCATTCTTTCGGTACCCATTTCGGGCGTCCAAATGAAAGGGAGGGCCATGATGTAGATTTTCAGCACCGTTGGCTCCGAGCGAGTGTGGTGCAGTGGCCAGGCAGACGCTGAAGCACTGAAGCCAGCGTGCAAGCCAGCCGGCCAGCTGTTCATGCAAGCAAGCAAGCGGGCATGTGCAACCCGCATGCGCAACTTGCATGAGCAACCCGCATGCGCACACCATGTGAGCGCTTTTGTATTCGTTCTTTTGCCGATCGGCGCGGGCCCTCGCACCCCCGCCTGCCCCCCCCATGGAGTAGATCTTGGCTGTTTTGGGGGGCCTGTTTCGGGCAGGTGGAGCCTCCCCCCATCGGACACGCTGCTGCAAACCGCCGCACTAAGCAGAGGTCCGGAGCCAGACCCCGCCCTCCCCCCCTTTCGGCCCAATGTCGAAACGCCGCTCACCATGCAGATGTGGTCCCGCGGGGTCCCCAACCCGACCAGTCCTTTCATAAGGGTAAGGATTGAGGCCGCTCGCACCTCGCAAGGCATTCGGACACTTTGACGGAGTGCACTCGTTTCGGCTTTCGGTCGAGTCTTTCCAAGGCCGGAGGCCCCAAATATTTATGTGCACGAGACCTGTTTCTTGAGCCCATGGGGGGTAGGTGACACCAGGACCGATGCGATACCACCGTTGTTCCACTAGAACTCCTTGTGCGCCGCATGGGCTTGGCCATCTGTAAAATGAAGTGGCCGCGATCTTCACATTTCAGGCAACGGAGGAGGGCTCACTGCTTCCAGTTCAACCGAACGTAAACACAGTTGCTGTCTTGGAATGTCCTGTGAAGGCGGAGTCCAGCCACAGAGTATCTTTCTTGGCGATCTAGGCGAGACCCACCCTGCGCGAGGCCACCTGTCCGTTCTCCTGCAGAACGTTGCTTGACCGTAACTCGGCAGAGGGTACCCTATCAGGACGTATTGAGTTTTCATGGTTGACGTTGAAGATCTATGTTGCATGCGCTTTCTAAACCTCTCATCTCTGATTCCAAGTCTTGTGGCTTCCCATCATTCCCGATCAATCCACGCACTGCCGTCCAGACATTGAGGACACGCGCATCAGAGTTTCATTTCCCATGTCAGCCCTCTGAGAATATTCGTGACTTGCTGCGACCCGCCGAGGTCAGCAAAGGCGCCACCGGGGCGGTGTGCTGGCACGCCAGGACTTTTGGATTTTTTGAGGATGTTGGCCTCCTTCTCTCGTAACAGACTGCTCGAGGCAACCTACCATCAACCAGTATCATAGATCTCAGCCTTCTTTACCCTCGGTTTGTAAGGATACTTAGCTGAAGCTTCCCTCCCGCATAGGACTTATACACGTATGATGCAGATTCATAGCCGCATGTGCATTTCAGTCGGGATCAGAGCCGCATCTTTAATGTTTGGACAGGTCGGCTTCTGCCGTGAGACATTGAAGATCAAAAGGTTTGCAATGGAACTAGGTTGGAGGCAGGATGTTTCAGAGTTTGTGTCGATCTTGGGAACTCCACGGACGGATCTGGCGCGAGGAACCCGTGATGCTGCTTCCGAGCTGGTCTCGGACGCGCAGTAGCCCTCATCCAGGGTATGCGAAAGTGGCACTCGCGACATGGCCTACTCTTCTCGCGCAGCGCATGGACACTTGGCGGTGGCAACGGTGGGCTTCCCCTTCAGACCTGGCCTGTCGCGGACGCCTGTTTCCCAGCACGCCGTCCCAGCCGGTTTTGGCTCGAGGCGCTGCGGCGCGACGACGATGCTCCGTCTCCAGCGGCGCTCGCATCGCCATGGAGCGGCCCTGCAGGTGGATCAACCGCCAGATCACCAGCGCGGCCGAGTCCGGCGACGTCGCGCGGCTCCTCGGCGTCATACAGGTCGTGGGCCTGTTTTCCACCACCATTATAAATGGGAGGGAGGGAAGGAGGTGGAGGATGAGGAGGAGGACGAAGAGGAGGAGGAGGAGGCCCCCTTCCCCCTCCTATTTGTGGTTTTGGTGGAACACAAGCCCACCAACAGGAGCACGCGGGCGGGATGAACCTGATCAACTGCTCCACCGCCCTGCACCGCGTCGCGAAGCTGTCGCTCGGGAGCAGCGTGCAGGAGCGCGGGAGCCTCGTGGAGCACGAGGCCGTCCAGTGCCTGCGCGGGCTGCTGGTGGGGCACGTCGCCGAGAGGGCCGGGGCCCGCGCTGGGCGCGCGAGCGGCGGCGAGCTGGCGTCCGAGCTGCGGTGTCTGAGCATCATCTGCTGGGCCCACTTTCCACCACCGCTGGCCACATGTAGGAGAGGGAGGAGGAGGAGGAGGAGGAGGAGGAGGAGGAGGAGGAGGAGGAGGAGGAGGAGGAGGAGGAGGAGGAGGAGGAGGAGGAGGACCTCCCCATCCTCCCTTCGCCCCCGACCCACATGTGGCAGTGGTGCTGGGAATTCTGCCCATCGACGTCTGTTGGTCCTGCGGCACGCTGCGGATTCGGGAGGCGGGCTTCTTCGAGCACGTGGCGTCCATCCCCGGCGAGAGGCTCTCCGAGATGAAGCCGTTCGAGCTGAGCAACATGCTCTGGGCGTTCGCCAAGCTCTCGTACGGCCACTCCCGCATCTTCGAGGGGCTGGCTCCCTACCTGCTGCGCCGCCGGCCGGGCGAGATCAGCCCTCAGCTCCTCTCGACGATCGTCTGGGCTTTCGGCACGGCGAAGGTCCACCACGCCGCCGTGTTCTCCAGCGTCGCGCAGGAGCTGTCGAAGCACGCGTGGGCCATGTCCCCCCAGGGCATCGCGAACACCGCCTGGGCGTTCGCGCGCGTGCGGCACCAGGAGCTGCGCCTCTTCCGTCTGCTCGCGGAGGTGACCGTGCAGGAGTCCGCGCTGTGGAACTTCAGGCCCCAGGAGCTGTCAAACCTCGCCTGGGCGTTCGCCACGGTGAGCCTGACGCACTCGCCCCTGTTCGACGGCATCGTGGAGGTCGCCGTGCGGCGCCGGACGGAGCTTCCGCCGCAGAACATCGCCAACACGCTGTGGGCGTGCGCGAAGTTGGGGGTGCCCTCCCGCGAGCACCTCTTCCCGCCGCTCCTCGAAGTCGCGGAGAGGCACCTCGGGGCGTACAAGCCCCAGGAGGTGTCGGCCATCCTGTGGGCCGTGGCGCGCGAGGTGAGCGGCAGCCCGTCGTGCCAGCACTTCTTCCTGGCGGTGCCCCGCCACTTCGAGGGCCGCCTGCAGGAGTTCACCTCGCAGGGCCTGGCGTGCATGGTGGAGGCCTACACGCTGGCGGAGGCGGACGGCCTCGGCTTCTTTGACAGCATCCTGGCGGAGAGCGTGAAGCAGCTGGACAGGTTCGAGCCGCCATCGCTCTGCACCCTCTTTCGTGGGGTTGCCATCAGGGCCGGCGGCCCGAGGGGCCCTTCTTGCAGGCAGGAGTCCGCGCAGAAGTCGGACCACGTCAGGGCCATCTCCGACCACATCGCCGCCAGGCTGCCCGAGATGCAGCGGCACAACCTCGCGCACCTGGCCCAGAGCCTGGACCTCCTCCCCGCGCACGTGCAGGCCACGAACGCCTCGAGGCTTGCGTTAAGTCGGGCGTGTCCCTGTACAGGAGGAAGATTCAAAAGTAGTCGAGCAATAGTCTGGGGACGATGTTCGAGTATTTTCTTTTGCCATTATTATGGTATTGCTTGACCATTTCTTATTCTTCGTCCCAAGCCCCCCCTGTAGGAGGACAGGCCCGACCCAAGGCTTGCGGAGAGCAGCACCATCCTGGCCGCCCAGCACGCCCAGGGCGACGCCGCAGAGCCGATGGACCTGGCGTGGGCTGCCGACCCGCAGGGCAGCCTGGGCGTGCCGATCCTGGACGCCGGCGACGCCCCGCCGCCCGGCCGACCCCAGCGGCAGGGACCCGAGCCGTGCCCGCCGCCGCTGCGGCTGCAGCTCGCCCTGGACCCGCGACCCTCGCCGGCCGCAACAAGAGCAGGAGGATGAGGAGGAGCAGGATGATGATGAGGAGGAGGAGGAGGAGGACAAGCAAAAGGAGGAGGAGGCGGAGGAGGAGGAGGAGGAGGAGGAAAAGAAAAA